CTTTCTGTTGACTTTTTCATGGAATTCATCGCAGTCGTAGTATATTCGTCTAAACTACCGAGTAACTCAAGTAAATCTTCACTGTCGTCGATTCCATCGTCACCATAAATATCTTGATTTGGTGGTAAAAATACAGGATCAATCACATCATCATCAGTTTGAGCTTCGGCAATAACTTGAAGTAAATGTTCATCACGATCCTTTTTGCATTCATGTAAAAGTTGAATATTTTCTATGATTGTCATCGAATATGTAGATATAAGATGCTGTTGAGATTTAAATGCATCTTCCCATGTCTGCTCGATGGCACAAAGATCAGCTACGGAACGCCAGGGCACAAAAAGTGTTAGAAGAGCTCGACAGTACCGCTCTCGTGTGTCATCACGGTCTTGTCGAGGAATTTGAGGACCATAAAGAATAGGTACACGAGATTGAGTATATTTCATCATTACATATGTTGTCGCCTGTGGATGCTGTTTCTGAAAAGCATAACGTTCATTAGGAGGTCGACCTTTTCGATTATCGTTTTGTTTTTTAGGTACTACAATGTACGATAAATATTTCAAATCTGCTGCATTCATCTTCTTCTTGTATAAGATACTGACAAAATCATATAGACATATGTTGTTCAGAATTTCTGACCGATATTGATAATCAATTCGTGTATTAACAAGCACATGTTTTTCGTCATTTTCGGATGCCTGAATCTGGAACTGTTCTTCATCATTATTTTGATCGTCAATAGCTTCATCGTCACATATATAATCGTCGATGACATCTACGTATGATAAACAATAAATTTGTTTTATTTAATGATAACAACATGATTCAACCGCTCTATTATATTTTCTTTCAGCATACTCAAAAATTACGACATTGAAAACGTTTTCTTGCTAGGAAATAGATAATCTGTTACCTCTATATTGCAAAAATGACAGTACCACATGGATTATAGTACTTTTGATCTATCAAACAGTCAATAATTTTATTTTCAGGTAAGCTTTTGGTTAAACAATAAACTTTATCATGGTCATATATAAGTACTTTAAGACATGAATTCAAATATTAATATACTTACCATGCACTGTAAATGTCGACTTTTGTTTGGTACGTATTTCGTTCAATTCACTTTGTAAAAACAGTTCAGTTTGAATTAGATAGAGGCCTTGAAATTTGTGCGTTGTATAATGATCCTCCCAGTTCATAAGATAAGAAGCAACTTGAGCTCCGGATAGCTCTTGTTGAGAAGCAAGTGTATTGTAACAACGTAGGACGAGCTTGCGTGATTTCTCGATTGGACTTTCGTTTTCTGACTGATGAAATGAATTATTCATCGATGTAATGCCTTTTTTGTACAAGAGCAAATGTATCATGAAAAGATAGACTCATTTTTG